CCCGGAAGAAATGTATCTGATATCATCCCTTCAAAATGCAAATCCTGCTGAGGAGCCAAATGGAGAGAGTTGCCTTCACAACTGTCAAACACCATGTGTGAGGGAGTCACATATAATGATACTTCCAATCCCTAACATTTAATCTTTCCATCTGCTGTGTGACTGCCTGATTAAACCTGTGACAGTTGGAGGAGCTGCAAGTTGACCTAACTGACTACAGTGATGGTTCCTCTTCAGACTATCAAATCATGGAAATGTAAGGCTAGAAAGGACCTCAAGAGGTCTTGAAGTAGAGACCCCTCCTCTGAGACAGGACCAGGTAAATCATTCTAGACCACCCCTGACAGGTTTGACCAACATCTTAAAAGCCTCCAAATATGGTGATTCCATAACCTCCCACGGAAGATTATTCCAAAGCTTAAATACCCTTAAGATTAAAAAGTTTTTTCCTAATATCTAACAGAAACCTCTCTTGCTGCAGATTAAGTGCATTGCTTTTTATCCTACCTTGAATAGACATCGAGAACAACTGATCACTGTCCTCTTTGTAATAGCCCTTAATCTGTTTAAACAGGTCCTCCCGCTTTAGTTGTCTTTTCTCAATATTAAACATGTCCAGTTTTTTTAACTGTTCTTCCTAGATTAGGTACTGTTATAGGTCTGTGTACTTAGCAGTCCATAGGATGGTAGAATTCTAAGGCTGTTTGATGTAGCAATATTGTATATGTGGACTGCAGATTGCCACATCTTCTTTCATCTTTTATATTTTGTGCTCTATGGCTGAAGACAAGATTTTTCTGCCCTAATGGTGCAGAGTTCTGCATGGAATGAATAGGATACATACCGTGCATGGGACAAACCTTCCCTCCTCTTCAAGCTTGCCCAAGAGTTACTAATGTCCTTGTACTCTGGAATTGTGGTCTGAGGGGTTTCCTGTGCTCCATTGCAGCGATGATTTGGGGTGATTACTGATCAGGCAATGGTCAGTCAGCAACAAAAACAACCCTTGACCTATGGCAACATCCACAGTGTACAGCATGGTTACTCGGGCAGTGCACCAGTAACAGGATTTGCTTCAGAGGTTAGAGGTGAAATCCTGGCCCCATTTTAGTCAGTGGCAGTTTTGCATGCATGCATGCTGCAGTTAGTCAGGAGAAGTCAGGATTTACTGCCGAGGTGTCCTCAAAGGTCTCTGGCTCCGTTGATAATGATAACCAGAAGGCTGCTTGCATGTGTGCTCAGTGATGTGGGCTGTGTCAACTTGTGCACTTAGTCTCTATGGCAGACCCCAAGAGAGTCTCCAGGGTAGTGGGACTGTCTGATCCACATAAATGTGGCTTTGCGATCCAGGCTCTTTTGTGGCTTTTCAGGCCAAACTAAGTGGGGAGGGTGGCACACCCCCAAGCAGCTGCTTTCCCAGGTATTGCACATTGTAGCATGGAAGGCTGGCTTATGACTGTCTTCCTGACAGCCATTCATAAATGAAATATAAGTGACTGTGTGCATTACATGTCCTTGAATGGGCCTTCTGAATCAGGATACATTTTCTGAAAGAACTGTGGTTTTCTTCATGTGGCAGAGCTCACATTTTGGGCACTCTGAAAGCCTCCTTATATACTATGGAAGCACAAGTCAGTAAAGTTAATTAAATTTAAATTAAGTTATCTTTCAATTTCTAAGTAAACTTTAAAGAAATATACACATGAAGCTTCTCTGATCATCAAGTGGGAGTAATGGGGGAGCAGAGCTCAGCTTTATCTGCTAAATTGCTACCTCTCCTCACCTTGACTTGGGTAAGCAGCATTTCTTCCTCCTCCTTGACTAGTGTGGAGAGAGCTTCTCCTGTTTTAGCCACTGAGGGTAACCAGATACAGATACAGATGCAAGCCCATCTTTGATTAATACAAGGCAGAGGCAGCCTTTGTTTTCCATCGCCGCTGAAACAAGGTTGTGATGTTTTGTTTTTTGGCAGGCACATACCCATTTGTGACTTCATCAAACTGTACCGTGGGTGGTGTGTGCACCGGACTCGGTATTCCTCCGCAGAATATTGGTGAAGTATACGGTGTGGTGAAGGCATACACTACGAGAGTGGGAATTGGAGCCTTTCCCACTGAGCAGATAAATGTAGGTTTAACATTACAGAGTGTAATCTACACAGTAAATGAGAAATAAGATCAATGGGATAGACTGTTAAGGATAATTGCCTCCTGCTGACACACAAAGGCCAAGACATCGTCAAGGGACCAAATTCATCCCTAGTGTAACTCAGCTGAAAGCAACCTGCGATATTTATTGTCAAACCAGTCATCACTGATGCGATGACATTCTATTATGTCTGTAGTGCTGTCATAATAAATCAGAGATAGACAATAGACATTTTTTCCATTGTTGTATGCAGTGGTGTTGTAGCCATGTCGGTCCCAGGATATTAGAGAGACAAGGTGGGTGAGGTAGTATCTTTTCTTGGACCAGCTTTTGTTGGTGAGAGACAAGCTTTCAAACTCACACAGAGCTCTTCTTCAGTTCTGGGAAATGTACTCAGAGTGTCACAGTTAAATGTAAGATGTAACAGATTGCTTAGCACGCTCATATGAGGTATCAAAAAACGACAGCCCATACTCTAGTCTATGGGAACCCCATTCTGAAAAAAAACTTTCCTGAATCCCCTCTTCTGGTCTTCAAACCCCTAAATCATTTCAGGCTCATGCTCAGAAGCATGCTATCCCACACGGAACAGGACACATCTGCTGAAACCAGCCCTGGACCCCGCCAAAACAACAAATGTAAAGCCTGCAGACTTATCTCCACTGCTACAAAAATCAGCTCCCACCACAGTGAACTTTTCAAGTTCCATGAGTCGTACAAATGCCTGTCTCAACATGTGGTGTACTTTAACTGTCCCAATAACAACTGTGCAGTTGAAACCAGATAATGAACTCACACAGATGAACTCACACAGGAAAATGATAAAAACACCATTATTACCTGTGGGTGAACATTTCTCACAAGCGATTACTCTGACTCTGACCTCTCAATCCTCCTCTTCAAAGGAACACTTCCATATGATAAATCTGGGAGCTAAAATTCATAACTTTGCTAGACACTAAAATCATGGACTAGATAGAGACACTAGATTTATGGCTTATTACAACAAGGTGTAACTGATTAACGATAGTCCCCCCCAGTTGCTTTACCTTCCCTCCCTCCCTCCCTGACTATAGAGGTATGTAAGGGGAACTTCTGGAATGGCCTCTTGCAATATGTATTAGCTATTTACACTAAACAATCTGTTCCACCTTTTATTTAGCTGTGATACACTGAAGTTTCCCAAACCTGAAGAAGAGCTCTGTGTAAGCTTGAAAGCTTTTCCTCTCATCAATAGATGCAGCTCTGATAAAAGAAATTACTTCACCCACCTTGTGTCTCTGGTATAAATGCCATTTTTTCTCATGGCTATTGGTGCAGTTACACTGGCAATTTTTGTTGGCCAGAGCCTCCAGGTCTCCATCAAGCAAAACTAAAGTTGCTTTACTAGTAGTTTTGGCTGTGTAAGAAGGACTTGGAAACTGCAGGTTATAGTCTTGTGTTATTGACAATATAATGTATTCTGAATGATATAGACTAGATCAGGTATGTGCTTCAGCCAATTATGCCAAAGTGTCTTCATTAAAAATGCAGAGTGGATATCAGGGAACTGGATGACTCAGATTAATTATGAGATGGACATCCATAAACTTCTAGGTTGTTGGTCAGAATCGTCTTTAATATTATAGTGACTAAATCCCATTCTCTAATGGAGGCAATGAAATGAACTGCTGGTAAGATTCAGTTCCTCATGGAAAGTTTTTTTTTCTTTTTGTTCACATAACAAAAAAGCTGCCATCCCAATGGGCACCAGCTGGCATATTTAGTTATTTGTAATACCAGAATGCCCAGGAGCCCAGTCCTGGACCAAGATCCCCTTGTGCTAGGCTCTGTGAAACACAGAACAAAAAGATTGTTGCTGCCACCAAAAAGCTTATGGCCTAAATATAAGACAAAAGCAAATAAATAAATACAGATAACTTGATGATTACTGGTTCTGTTCATTCCCTCTGGGACAGCTGGCATTGGCCACTGTTGGAAGAACTGATAAGAAGATTTTCTTATCATATGAAGAAGGAATATGGGTTCCTCCAAAATAAGAACCAGTCATACCGGAGCACACTGAGGGCATATTGTGGGAAAAGTCATAATGTTGATGCTGTGTTGTACCAGTTTCTGAAGATAGGAGCATTAGTTTCAACTGAAGTCTCCCTAATTTAAGAGAACTAAAATTTACTTTAAAAAAAATTGATTCGACTGGCTGAGATTTGTTACTTCTGTTGTTGAAATACCATCCATGTTTCTTTATCCTTCTGTAGGAAATTGGAGACCTCTTGCAGTCCCGAGGCCATGAATGGGGTGTAACCACAGGCAGAAAAAGGCGCTGTGGCTGGTTAGATCTTGTGATTTTGAGATATGCTCACATGATCAATGGATTCACTGCGTAAGCATCACAGATTTTGCGCTACATTTGGAACTGATAATTTTGTTCTCCACAGAATAAATTATGTAGGTAATGTTAATATCAGTGCAGTTAAATGTTATGTTTTAAGCTGTAATGCAATAGAATGCTGTCATAGGGAAAATAATCGCCAACTGCTACATAAATGCCCATGTAATGCTAAAATGTTTATTCTTAGACTTAGCAACTTTGTGTAATATGATGACATTCTGGTACAATTAGTCTATTTTATTCTGCACCAAATGACTGATGTTGAATGAATCAGTGAAGCAGTTTGCTGTAGCATCAGTTGTTCCCTCTCTCATTCTCTACCTCATTCTGTCATTCTCTACCTAGTACATTCGGAAAGATGCCCATTGACTCTAGTAGACATTGTAGAGTGCATGACAAAAATCCACAGGATCTATGTAATGCCTCAGCTTTTAAATGGTTCCTTGGAGGTATCCCATCAGTGTGCCAGGCACTAAAAGTCCCACTTTTCCTTAAGGGTAGGCCTCACGGCCTCAGCAGTTCCAAGGTGGAGCCTCTGGGCTCCCGCACTCTAGCTTCTCATTTTGTGCTCTGCCCATTCAGTCGTGGTCCCAGAGACTTTTGTTCAGGGACTTGCACCCTCTTCAGGGATCAATGCACCTCCTCGAGAATTTGCAGTGTCACCAGGTAGTATTTTCAAAACAGAGTAGGGCTTATTCGTGGTTTGAAACACAGCATTGGGAGGTCTTGAGGTTTTCACAGTGAAACAAATGTTAAGGCATAGTTCATACTGGCCAATTCCAGGGCTCCCTCTTGAGCCATCTTAATTTCCTTTATCTCAATCTGTATCTCAGTCCCTTTTTCTCAGGCTATGCCTACACTAGCACTTTTATCAGTCGGGGTATGAAAAAAACACCCCTGACTGACATAAGTTTCACCTACAGAAGCACCAGTGTAGACTGCTATATTGGCAGGAGACACTCTCCTGCTGACATAGCTACCACGGCTCATTGGGTGGCTTAATTATGTCAGCTTAGAGTGGGTACATGGGAGACCTTACAAATGCACAGCTGCAGCAATACAGCTGTGCCACTGTAAGGTAGACATAGCCTTGGTCCCAGGTGGGAATTCTGAATCTCTTAGTTCTTATCAACCCCTTCTGGTCACCTCACCACATTGTCATCCTGCTGAGTTCATGTGTGCTCCAGTCAGTCAATCTGGGAGTCTCCTGGTTAAGTGTCAATTGTTCAATCTTCTCTAGGGCCTTCCATTGATATGGGTTGATCCCAGCCAGTCCTTAATGCAGAACTTCCAAAGCTTTTTGCTGGCACAATCCCATTTTAATGAAGTATTTCCTGTTAGGACCTCAGAAAGCATGAATGATACCATTTTGAAGAACAAAATGGCATCCTCCGTACACTAGGGATCACCACAATGAAATCTGCTGGTGATACAACCCCATTTGGGCTCGTGACCCACAGATTGGGAATCACTGTCCTAATGATCCATTCATGTTGCCCCAGATAGCTACTGCTATACCATTGTAGCATGGTAATGTAGACACTCGCTATAGTTACAAAAGGTGTTTTTCTGATGCTGTAGAAAATCCCACCTCCTCACCCCCAGAAGGTGGTAGCTGTTTCAACAGAAGAATTCTTCTTTTGACATAGCAGTGCATATACTGGGGCTTAAGTCAGCTTCACTATGTCTCTAAAAGCCCTAATCTACACTAGGGTTTTATTTTGAAATAACTCCCCTTAGTTGAATTAATAAGCAGAGCGTCCACACTACCAAACCCGTTACTTCAAAATAATGGGCTGCTTATTTCAAAATCTGTACTTCTGCTTTCCTCAGGGAATAAAGCTAATTTTGAAATAGTTATTTCGAAATAGCAGTAGTGTGGACACTCCAGTACTGCTATTTTGAAATAACTACTCCCCAGAGTAATTCGAACTAATTACTCCCCAATGCTTCCTGGGGCTCTTAAGTCGAGGTAGTCTGTCCACATTAATGGAGCTTGCCTCAGACTAATTTCAAGGCTTCCCCATAGTGTGGACATGTTATTTTGATTTTGGAATTTCAGAAGTTATTAAATCAATTTTAGTTATTTCAAAATAGTTTCCTAGTGTAGACATGTTCTGAGGGGAATGAAAATCGAGAATTTTATCAGTTATGAAACAAACATATGAAACAATCTTTCTGCAATAACTAATATGAAAGTTTTGTAACATTATTATTAATCCAAGGCCTTATGTTGCTTTCACCTGTGCATTACCATTCTCTGTGGAAGTGACATTAAAGAACTATATTCTGTTTCCTTTTCAGTTACATGTAATTACTGTTTCCCCCATCCACTAAACTATGTCAATTCTAGAGACTTTGGCCCAGATCCTCAAAGAAATTTGTGCTTCTAACTTCCATTGATTTCAGTGAAAGCTAGATATCTGAATACTTTCAATGACCTGTACCCTTGACACGTAAGCAAGAATGGGAGGTATATGCCAAGGGCTCTCAATCTTTCCAGTCTCCTGCACCCCTTTCAGGAGTCTGATTTGTCTTGCATACCCAAAACTTCACCTCATTTTAAAACTACTTGCTTGCAAAATCAGACATAAATATATAAAAGCATCACAGCCCACTATTAGTGGAAAATGCCTTATTTTCTCCCTTTAGTACTTACATTTCAGAGTATATAGAGCAGTATAAACAACTCATTTTCTATATGAAATTTTAGTTTGTACTAAATGCACTAGAGCTTTTCACATAGCCTGTTGTAAAACTAGATAAATATCTAGATGAGTTGATATACCCCTTGAAAGACCTCTGTGTACTCCTGGTTGAGAAGTTGGAACCACTGCTATATACCATGAATGAAGCAAAGAACAGCAGCCATGTGGATCTCTTTCAAAAATTGTTTCTCCACTAATCTTTACTTTTTAATGACTTTTCCATCTACCCAGACATTGAAAACATGCATATATATGGCCAGATCATTAGATGACTGATGCAAGGATCAGTGGAACAAAACCTATAGATATCAGCTGGGGCTCAGGCATGATTTTTTTAACATATTTGGCTACTATTTTCAAGTACAGTTCTGCTTTGAAAAGTGACTGCAAAAAATGGCATCATAAGATTCTACTGTTTATCTCTTGGAGATTTCTACATGAACCCAGGCTGTCAAGTCAATAAACTAACTAAACTGGGAATCTGAAAGTCAAGGTGGGATCTTTCCTGATTGCATATCATCAGCATTAATAAAGGTTCTGTTGGCCAAATTATGCCATCCGTGGTTTACACAGTGGTAAGTGATTGGCCCTGTAACTGGAACTTATTAAACAATTCTTTTAATGCACAACAAAATAGAATTCAGCTCTTTCTCTCTTAGCCTTGTTGGTTCTGCAGGGATAACCTGAGTAAACAGTAGTATGACTAAGGTAAGATGTGTATATTAGTACAGGAGCCAGGCCTGATAATTAAAGGATGTGATTGAATATACTGTTATTCATATGAGCAGGCAAACATGTGGAGGTTAAGTGCAGTAATTTGGTCATCACAAAGACATAAGTTGAATGAATAAAGTTCGGATTCTAATATGTCTTCCTTTACACTGGGTTGGCTGAGCTTGGTCTATGCAGACAAGAGTAGAAAAAGCAGGTGGAAGGGATTAAAGATAATGATGATAGAAGGATTCAACTTATGCGTAACTTTATCCATTGTTTTTCTGGACAGTCTGGCATTAACAAAACTGGATATTCTGGATGTCCTTGATGAGATTAAAATTGGTATTGCTTACAAACTAGCTGGAAAAAGAATTCCATATTTTCCAGGTATGTTTTTTTTTAAAGGCTTGATAATCACTTCTTCTTTCTCTTCTGTTTTTTATATTTAAAAACCACACCTGGTTCTCTGTTGCCCAGCACTTTGTAGGAATTTTCACAATAACAAAGTGGTGTAAAATGCTCCCACCAAATCAGAATAGTAGCATTTTAAAGTTTGCACAGCTTTGTACAAGTGTAAACAAATTCAAGGTGGACAATGGAAAACATATTGTGTTGTAAAAGATGAGATATGAACATAAACAGCTTTGATCTCTTTGCAGAATATTATAATTAGCAACAATAGACATTTTAGTTAATAAAAGAGTTTCTCCCATTGACCCAGCACGTGAGCTCTGTGTTAAGTAGATCTAAGCTATGTCAACTTGAGTTACGCTACTAATATAATTCAAATTGCATAGCTTAGATCATCTTTTCTATATAGTATAGACTTGCCCGAAGTGCCCTACTACACCAACATAATAACAAATTGGTCCTGCCATGAGAGCAGGGGACTGGACTCGATGACCTCTTGAGGTCCCTTCCTGTCCTAGTATTCTATGATTCCATAATAACTCCAATAGGCTTATGTTGGTGTAGTTATGTTCCTTATATCAGCTCTTGGCTGTCCCTAGCCAGGCTGCTGTCAGCTCTCCACTCCTCGCTGGGCTGCCACCCAGACTCGCTTCTGGGAGCCTTACTGTCCCTTCCACCTCCCAGTCCCAGCTCCCTGCTGGGAGCACAGCAACCAGCCTGACTCTGGGTGGGGATATCTCTGCCAGCGGCGATAAGCCCTGTGCGGCTGCCCTTCTTTCCCTGCTGTGATAAGAAGCCCAGGAGGCAGCTGGGCTCCTGGCAGGGAGCTGTATGTTCTGGCTCTCAGCCCCTCAGACTGCCTCTCTGCAGTCAGTGGAAGCACTCCTGGAGAGGATGTGCAGCACTGACAGAAGGAGGGTAGTGTGGACATAGGTCGACTTACGTTTGTAGTGTAAACATGCTCTTCATTTGTCTTGGGATATACAGTCAACAACAGTACTGGTAAATAGAGTGAACTGACAGCCCAACATTACAAACGTTCCTTTGTCAAAGTCATTTTTTTCATTTTTAAAAAATATTCATTAACGTTTTTCTGCTTAAACTCCGCGGACATGAATTTTTAAAGTGGAGCTGTTGTATCCTTACTTGTTGCTAATTGTGCTTTTGCAGCTAATCAGGAGATACTGCAGAAGGTGGAAGTGGAGTATGAAACAATGCCAGGGTGGAAGACTGACACAACTGGAGCAAGGAAATGGGAAGATCTCCCATCCAAAGCACAGAATTATATTCGATGTGTGGAAAACCATGTTGGAGTGGCAGGTAAATGTCTTTTCACCTGTGCTCGTGGAGAGACCACTGCACGTACACAAGGCTGTGAATGAATACTTTACCAGCTAGCCAGCAAAGAGCTTTGATGGGGCCTGAAGTAAGGATGTTAAAGACTAGTCGACTATCCAGTAAGCATTTGCTTATCGGATAATAATGTTGACTAGTTGACTAGTCATTCCTCCGCCCCCCCTTGAGGCCTCTATGAAACAGAGGGCACTTTGAAACCCCAAGGCAGCAGCTGCACCTGGGATCAGTTGTGTGGCGGGCTGCCCCTTTAAAACTCCACCTCTGTGTAGATTCAGAGGGGCAGCCCTGGAGCCTGGGGTCAGCTGGGGATTCCCAGCTGATCCCGGGCTCCCTGCGACATTTCCCTGAAATCCGGAATCAGCTGGGGACTCCTGAGTCCTGGAGAACTTCTCTGGGTGAACCCTGCCAGATAGTTGGAATAATTATCCCATCTGCATAATCATTTTAAAATGAAGAGACAGCCTCCATATTTAACCATGCTATGGTGTTTGTCTCGTAGGTTTTATGTCCACATCGAGATGACTTTACACAGGTTGGACCTCCTTCTTCCAGCACCCTCGGGATCTGACTGGTCCCGAACAAGGGGATTTGCTGAACAAGGGGAGGTCCCTCCCAACATGGCTCACGCTGCCCCCTGCTAGGACTCCAGCCAAGCCCCACTGTTGCCTGCCCAGCCATGGCTCCCCAGGCTGCAGCTCTGTGGCTTCTGGAGCTGCCAGGCTCTGAAGCTGCCATGGCTTGTGGGTCTGCCGGGGCTCCGCGGCTGCTCTGGCTGCCGGGACTGAGGCTCTGTGGCTACTCAGACTCTGCAGCCACTGCCAGCTCCCCACTACCACTGGGCAGCGGGGGCCAGAACTCCCTGCTGCACCCTGCTCCCTCAACATGGTGCTCCTGGCTGAGTCATGCCCCGGCTCCTGCCCTGCAGCCCGACCTCCTTATAACTGGACTCTGTGATCCAGGAACATCTGTGGGCCTGCCAGACCATGGATGTTGCCGGACCCCAGAGTCCTGGTTAAGGGAGGCACAACCTGTAGTCTGACAGAATTCTTGCTTTAGATTACCTGGGTTTACCCAGACATCCCATCACCCAAGGTAATAACAGTTGAATATGCAACTGACATGCCTTACTCACTCTTCAGTTAGATCTTTACACTTCAGTGCTTTGTGTTTATGGCATAATTACTCCATGCTTTCAGTGCTCCAGTATACTCTGTGTCAGCAATACAACTGGAGAAAATATTTAACAGAGAAACTTTTTCAGATCTTTGTTGGCAATTTTGTACCAAAATTTCATGTTAAAAGATGAAAATTATGAAAGTGAATTCATTATATTGTTTATGCTTCGTGTGTTCTAATTGTTTCTCTCCATCTTCTCTTCCTCACCAGTAAAATGGGTTGGAGTTGGAAAATCAAGAGAGTCAATGATCCAGCTATTTTAAACAAAGAATTTTTGTGATAAGAAGCCAATGTAATGTTCATCTGTTTCTTACTACTTCTAAATTAAAATGGAAATGCTGTTTAAAGCTAAAATATTATTCTAGGAAACGATTAGAAACAAATATATATATTGTAAACTTTCTTTTATCAGTAAATGCAAATTGTAAGTGATAAAAATCTGTTTGGTAGCCATCATCTTTTTATCCTATACACATGTGCAAAAGCATAAAGAATTCAGTAATTGAATAAGAACAGGAATGAAAAAAACAGTGTTTTTATTTCTTTTTCTTCGACTTGAGCCATGCCACTTTTATGTCCATATGGAATTATTTCTTCAGGCTGATAATACTGACCATTTTGCAGTAGCTACTGAGCATTAGAAAAGTTGAAGGTGTGTTCTTCAAAGGAAAATGTTACAGTTCCTGTTTCTGTATGTTGGCTGCAGTACTACATATACATTGCATTTAAAATTTTCCTGATTATGAAGACCCTCTCAATCCCTAAAATAAGTAAAATTAGGTAAGCCTTTTGATTACACAAAGCAAAGCAAATTCAATTAGCTTGAAGCCTGAGATCTTTTTACAACCTGCTTTAAAAAAGGCAAAGGAGGTTGGGGAGAGAGAAACAACTATGGTTGTATCACAGAGTGATGCAAGCCAGTAATTGAGGTAACTTCTGGGGATGAGCCAACCTGGAGATAGCTGAGCTACCTAAGTAGTTCCTTCAGATCTCCTGTTCACCTAGAGGCACCCCACATGGAGGCTATCAGAGGTGATATACTCCTCACTTGTGCAAAATAAAGGAAATCAGAGGAGTGAAGAAGAGCAAAAAGGGCCCTAAAGCCACAAAAGTGGTGGGGGTGGGAGGGAGTGGAGCCAATGCAGCATGATGAACCTTCTCCCTGAATTTGAGATGTGTCTCCATGCCAACACCATACATCTGGAGCTACCAGGTTTTGTGGAGCGTGGGTGGTGAGGCGCTGGAGAGCAGCAGCTGTATGGTGGCATGCTACCCTTTAATCTGGTGGATTTCCAAGCATAAACCTATGCATGATTTAATGTTGCTACTTGCAGCCATAACTCTCTTTCCCAGCTTTTGACCCCATTCAGAAAAATGTAGGCGGTGAAACCTGGTGCTAAAGGAGGGAACATATGGCAGCAGGTCTGATGGGAGTGCTGAACTGTTGCAGCAAGGAAGGTGCAGCAGGGGTTCCAAAATTTCCAGGGATGGATCTGGATTTCCTCATGGATCCTCTGGTTGTGCATGGTTAGAAGGCTGTGCTCTTTGCCTCCTGTGCATGGCCCAAGCCCCTCTGTTAGAGGGGAGAATGCTGCAGTAATTGAATTATTCCAAAAGTTGTGGAATTTTCAGAGCACGTTGACTTTTGGTGGTACCCTTTAGTACAGAATAGGGAAAAATAAGACCTGTCCATGGACCTCTGAACACTTCCAGATTCAGTTACCCCACATTGTCCCATTCCTAACAATTATCTAGGTATATTTTAACATTTATGGTCTGTTGTATTTTTTTAAAGTAAATATTATATAGGAACAGCTGCAGCATACATAAAGAAGTAGTCAAGCCACGTATATTATTGTATAAAGATGCATTGGGGCTTGTGGTACAGTCCCTCTGAACCTTCCTGTGGCAGCAATACAGTCTCTTTATACCCCCATCCAGCACAGCCTGTGGCTTTGTGGATAGGTACTGGGTTTGTAAAATTTTGGAGGGAGCCAGAAGTCAGAGGATAAAAGCCTTCGATGGGGGACTGAGGAGCAGAGCTGCCTACACTTAGTAAGGCAAGACGTGGCACGGCATAACAGGGGCAGCTGGGCCACATTTGAGTATGATGGTGAGTATCTTCACTAAATCTCAATGCCACTCAAATTTGGCCAACACGCCACCCTTAGCAAAATTCTGGTCATGTCTCTGGCTGGTGCCGGGGCTGGGCCTACTTTCCCCATGATTCCTTATAACCTGGCACCTATGGCTTTATACCACCGTCCAGTCCTTTATGTCCTGTGATTTAAGCACAAGAGCTCCTCTGAGTCCTAACTCTGACTTCTTCAGTGGCCTGTGGCAAGTCATTAAACTTGTTTGCCACAGTTTTGCCATTGGTAAAATGGCAGATAATAACACTTACTTACCTACCTCATATAGATTTTTTTGAGGATTAATTATGATTGGGTCAAATCCTGTGGTACTTACTCTTCTCTTTTGTTAGGCAAAACCCCCTTTGATAGTTGGTGTTCTGCCAGTGTAAGGACTGTAGGATTCAGACCTTATGTAATGTCTGTAAAGTGCTTTTGAAAAGTGTTCTGTAAGTGCTAAGTATTATGAGAAATGTAAAATGTAGCTCATTTTATTAGTTTAAGCACAAGCACTCTTGGCAATGCACAGCTAATCAAGTTTCATTTCCAATGGAGTTCCAAGTTTCATTTCTCATGTAAGTCATCTATGAGATGGTTCAGATTGATTCTTTCTCTCAGCTCATTGTCTTCAGCACATTTTCATTAGTGCAAAGCCATTTTATTTGGGTTTTGTTCAGTTTCATAGGATTAGGACCACAGTAACAGTTACTCACAATGTGCCCACAGCTGTCAGGTTAAATAAGCAACCCTAAATAAATCATTTTTGTACATTAAAAATGAAGTTGTTGTAAATGTATTATTGTCACAGGATGAATGTCTCTTGCTTTATCTAGATCTTTATTTTCTATAAAATGCCTTTCTATTTTGCCTTTGCTTTAGGACCTCATCCAAGCTCACTCATGCCCTTAATTTTAACCACATCAGCAGACTGTTATCCTGTGACACTTATGTTTCCTTGTTGTCTCTTTAATTTAATTGCATAGATTTTTTTTAAATCAAGTTTCTTCCCCCACTGAATTCAGATAATTTTGCCACCGTGTTCATTGTGAACAGGTTCAGGCCTTTATTTCTAAAAGTCTTTAACAGGCTATGTGATGACACAAACATGTAACAGAAATGTGTTTGATGTAAACTATACATTTATCGTCAGTGTTTCCTGTGGCAGACTAGTTTAGATTGGAACCTCTGCTTGGAATTTCATTGTAATAATCACTGTGGCTAATTTAATTTTTCTTTGTATGTTTTTTTCTTTTAATTATTGAAATTTGTTCCTGTATCATGTTGTTACATGTATTGGTAGAAGAATAAGGAGAATTGTCTACTAATATAGTATATTATGTTGGATGGATTGTGGTAAAAAAAAAAGTTACCAAATCCTTCAGGTAAAACGTGTATTTGACAGGTTTTGTCAGACTTGCTATCACATTGTGGCCTTTATAATTAGGTGTATTGTACACTTTCTACCATACGCTAGTTTTTTTGGTGGTTTTCTTATATTTTAACTGACCTATATATGCTCTTCCAACACTGACCAGCTGAATTTTATAAATTGAAATCAATAAAGTGAAGAGTTTTCAAAGTAATGTGCAAAATGTATATATAGAAACCTACACACCTATGTAGATTTTGCAGAAAAACTTTGAAATCTCATTCTATTATTTTACCCTCAAAGACTCATTTAAATTCACTTTAAAATAATATTTCTAGATTTTTTTTAACAAAAATCATTACTTTCAAACCTAAAACCAGTCGAGTGTTTCCTAATGCTTTTAGAACAATTATCAAGCAGTTTTGCATGAGAACTGGGTATTATCTTTCTAGCCATGAGTAGCAGATATTTACTATTGGTATTTCATTTGTATATTCTTAGGAGTGGCTAGGGTGATTTTCCTGTTATAAATCAGGTGTGGATTCTGCCATTACCTCCACTAGTCTGGGGTCCTGTGGCTAGCAATTCCTACCTGACTGAACAAAACACTTCTCTCATGAAGTGGAACTTTTCCCACTGAACATCTCATGACTGACTCAATGAGTTCTTTCCATGATAAATTGCTTAAAGAAACTTGAGCAATTAACTTTCTACAGTTCTTTACCATTAGAAATCCATCCACAGCACACTATTGGGAAAAGAAAGGAAAAAATTATCTCACTTACTATAACCAAGGCCAATCTCTAAGATACGGCCTTCATACTCACGGAGTTAGGAACTTTCAGGATCCTGATTTACAGGCCAGAAAATCTCTATTGCTCTTTATATCTTAAAAACCAATGGATTTTTTACTACAGTGTCCATATCCGATGAGTGAGAGACCGGGTAAGTACATCTACTAAAGGTGATATCTGAAACGGGATGGGGGAGATTTTTGTTGCAAGTTGATAGATCTTGTCTACAAAGGTTGCTACCAGACTATTTGTCGCTTTTTAAGTTTTTCCAATACAGACTAACTTGGCTACCCCCTGACACATTCTACCCAGGCGTATGATGAAACTCTTAGTGGAATGAGTTTTGACTGGTAACTGGCTTCCAAAGAAGTTTCATCAGACCCCAAAAGTAGGGACTTATGTAAATCACAATTTAAAAAAAAATTGATGACTATGCAAATGGCTAGGAATTGAATTTCACTGAGTTTGCATAGAATTAATTTTACAAGCTAATTTAATCAGCTTTACCACTAAAGTGTATTCTAGCCTTGAAATTGACTATCATTAACTGGTATAATTCATTCCATCCTTAGAATTGACTAACATTCACAGTGTGGTGGTATTTTCACGATATTTGTGCCCTCTAAGAAACTGATTTAAGCAAGGCCCAGTCCATTAGGCACTGGTGTGTCTGGAGTTGCCTCAGGCAGAATAGAGTTGTGTGCTGAAGCTCCCAGTCAGGAGCCCTTCTTTAGGGAAAATTCTGTTTTGTGATTGGTCCAGCTGGGGAGTGGAGAATATTCCACCCCAATCTTGGTTCAGACTGAGGAACTAGAAAGGAGGGAGGCATAATAACAAATATTACATGGAAACTTGGTAACAATTTTTACTTCATAGAAAAATACTG